GGGTGCTGCCACAGATGGATTGGGTAATTTATTTTAAGATTATTTTTAATTGTGTGTATGTGCACGTGAATTCAGGTGTCCTTGGAGGCTAAAGGTGTCAGATCAACTTGGAATTGGAGCTATAGGCAGCAGTGAGCTACCCAGTGTGGGTGTTGGGAATGAAACTCAGGTCCTCTTGCTAGAGTAGTGAATGCTCTTAACTCCCAAGCCATCTCCAGACCCAAGTTTGTTTGTTTCTTTGCTTTTTGAGACAGGGTATTTCCATGTAGCCCTGGCTGGCTGTCCCGGATCTCGATATATAGATCAGGCTGCCTTATAACTCACAGAGTCCCACCTGCCTCTGCCTCCCAGATGCTGAGATCAAAGGTGTGTGACACCATGCTCAGGTCCTAATTTTCCTCAAGTGAAGTTAGATACTATTTCCTACGTTTAAAGAACATTTGCACTTCTATTTTAATTTTTTGAGATTTTGTTTTCACTTTACGTGTATGGGTGATTTGCTTTCACGTATGTCTGTGCATGAAGTATGTGCAGTGCCTGTGGCGGCCAGAAGAGGGTGTCATTTCTCCTGGAGCTGCAGTTGTGAGCTGCCACGTGGGTGCTGGGAATAGAACCCATGTGTAGTAGACGCTCTGGTGTCTTTAAAAACTCAGTTATGTAAACATGTATTTGTTTTAATCCCAGGTGTGGGATATGAGGCTGATTTCAGATTGTCGAGAGCAGCAAACTATTTGCCTCATTCAAGCTCTGAGAGGGGCTCTTTGCCAGCTGCAGGTAGTTTAATTCTGAGGCATCTGAGAGGGAATGAATGCCAGATCCCATAGGGGTAAGGGGGGAATGGGGATGAAGGAGGGAGGGGAGACAGAGATAGAGAGAGATGGAGGGAGAGAGACAGAGACAGACAGAGGCACTCCAAGGAAGAAGCGTGCTGGTCCTCCCCTCTGCTGCTCCTGGTTGCTATTGATGCATTTTGATGAGAAGAAGTTAGAGATATCCTGAACTGAAGATTAGATGTACCCCAAGGAACTACATCCCTAACCAGTAAGAAATAGCTAAGGAAAATTCTCTCCCCCCACCACTAACCTTCTTTCTCTCCTACCTGGTGTTGGGGTGTTGAAAGGACTAGAGTGGAGAGGGGAGGAAGAGGCATAAGAAATGTAAATAAAACAGATATAAAAAGTGTGCCTACACCCATGTCCTGTGGTAGTGTTCTTAATGCCTGAGTCATCTCTCCAGTCCCCATTTGTAGCTTCAAAATATATGCTGATATTTTGTTCATTTTTTTCTTCAGAGAGAAAAATGGAAATGAACTGATTAACAAACTTGAACAAGAGAACATAATTCCTACCTCAACCTCGCTAGGTGTGATGATAATTCCAGCAATTAGGCAACCTGGACTGGCAGACTGAGAGTTTGAGGTCAGCTTGGAGCTATATATAGTGAGGCCCTATCTAAAACAAAAACAAAAACAAAAACAAAATCTACCTGGTGATCCCTGGAACCACCAGGTAGAAGGACAGACCCCTTTGAGTTGTCTTCTGAGCCTCCCCTCACACACAAAAGAAGCGAATAAATTTGCACACATACACAGGTACAGCGTGCTATAAATTTAAAAAAGAAAGTGGCTCTGGCCTCTTTTCCCTTTGCTGAGTGCTCACATTTTGCCAGTAGAGGGCACTGGTGAGACACTGCAGGAGCAGACAGTGTAGGCTTTCTGCTTGAGCTCCACTTCTGAGGCGCACCAGGCTTCCACAGCTGAGACAGGCGACAGACTTGCCTCTCCCTGGGTGTGGGCTAAGTGGTGATGCTTACCTGTAATGGTGGCAGTCCAGAAGCTGAGTAGGAAGATCCCCCACTGGTCTGGAGTTCTAATAACCCACCCACCATGAATCTGTTAAAGTCATTGTTAGCGCTCATGAGAGCTCCTTAAGTTCTTACTGTACACATTCCCCTTGGGCTCATGTTTCTGTAAATAAACAAAAATGTTTGGGGGTGGGGGCAGAGCAACCTGATTCCCTAATTGGAGGCTACTGCTATCTCCCTTGATACACTGGCTAGCTTCTGCAAAAGGACTGTCACTGAAACTCTTCCAGCAGCACCAGCTGTCCTAAACACTCCATCGAAGCCTACAGACAGCAACATGAAAATCTTCACAGCTAACAGCCCACAAAGGTCCTGGCTCCTCAACTGTCATAGACACAGCTGCAGCTGGTTTTGGTTTTTTTGTTTTGTACTGTTTTTTTGAGACAGGCTCTCTCTACATAGCCCTGGCTTTTCCTGTCACTTGCCATGTAGATCAAGCTGGCTTGGAAATTCATAGAGATCCAACTGCCTCTGCCTCCCAAGTGCTGAGATTAAAGGCGTGCATTGCCACACCTCAGTGAGTAGGTCATTTTCTGTCATTTTTGTTCTTGAGGCAGGTCTTGCTCTTAGCTTAGGCTAGTTTGTAGTTTACCACATAGCCAGTGCTGGCCTTAAATTTGTAACGATCCTCCCATCTCTGTTTCTTGAGTTCTGGGATTAAGGCCTGAGCCACCATGTCTGACTTTTGTTTGTTTTTGAGATCAATTCTGGTCTGAAACTTTTTATGTAGACAGGCAGGACTTGAACTTGCAGTGATTCTCCTGTTTCAGATCCTGGACCAACAGTTGTTAACACTGGCCAGTTCAGAGGACTAAGGGCTCCCCAAACATGGGCCTAACTCGAAGTCCTTAATGCCAGTCACTACTTGAGAGCGTCTAAGCCCACAAGAGCTCTAGTGCTTTCGGGGTTGAGGCTCTGCATACTGAGGTCTGTGCAGGAACCGCATTATAGGGCATTGCTTGCTGCTATCCACACCTGCTCAGGGCAGCAGTTCAACGGCTGCAAAGCACCGAAAGAAACAAAAAGCTGCCAGCTTGGAACCCAGAACCTCTCGCCCACCCAGGATTTCTGTCCCGCTAGAGCACAAGGATGATAACTGACTAGGATAAGTGACAGCAGCAGGAAGCAGCTCCAGGCCACTCTACCCCCGGGCAGGTTTGTAGTGGGATGTTTCTCGTGAGGGCCTCACTGTGAGGAGCATTCTCTGGCGCCCTGAAAAGTTATTGTCAAGGTCTAGAGAGTATATTTTTCCAGAAAGTTCTACGGGTGGAGTCCTGTAGCATATGCAATCTCTCCAAGGTCTGGATCTCACATTTCGGTGGAAAGGGTGGCGGCTGTTCCTTATGTCACCTTTCTTTTCTGTTCTTTTTTATTTTTATGTACTTGCTTGTGTGTGTAGGTCAGAGGACAATTTACAAAAGCCAGTGCTCTCCTACCACGTGGGTCCTGGGGATGGAACTCAGGTGGCCGTCACTCCATCTGGTTAGCCATCTCCTCAGCCCTCTTCACTTCTCGCTCTCTCGTTTTGTCTTTTGAAATAGGGGTCTTCCTACATCTCTCAGGCTGACTTCAAGTTCAGGATCCTCTTGCCTCAGCCTCTCTAGTGTCGGTTTGACAGGTGTGAGCTATCACACACAGCTTCAGATTACACTCTTTAGGAAACAATTCACTTAAAACTTTGAGGAGCAGCCTCAAAGTCGTGGTGGCACAGGCCTTCAATCCAGCATTCAGGAGGCAGGCGGATCTCTGTGAGTTCAAGGACAGCCTGGTCTGTACAGTGAGTTCCAGAACAGCCAAGGCTACACAGAGAAACCCTATCCGGAAAAACAAAACAAAAACCAAAACTGAGAAGCAAGACTAGTGATCCTCAACTCTCCCGAAAAGAAGTTTCTTTCAGATCTCACTAGAGAGCATGAGAGAGTAGAGAAGTCACAGGTGCTCCAAGGGCAGAACACAAGTACATTTCCTCTGGAACTTGACAGGGACTGAGAGGTGATAAAGTGGAAACTGGCAGGACCACAGAATCCAGGTTCTTTGCCTGTGGAAAACGGATAGGCCATTTTTCACTGAGCAGGATTTAGCGCTGGCTTAATCGGGAAGTATTTTGTTATGTGTATGAGTGCTTTGCCTGCACCTACGAAATCTGCTGCCTTCCCCACCGTGATGGTTGTACCCTTAAACTGTGAGCAACACACCTTCTCTTAAGTTGCATTGGTCAGGTATTTGTCACGGCAGCAAGAAAAGTTAAGAAATACATCGGCTTTTCTCAGCCTCTAGGCCACGGAGATTCCCTTGGTCCAAGTTCTGTTTCCTTCTAAGTTGTTATTGGCTGATAAAGGCAGTCCCTGATATTAGCAGCTGTATCTGTTTTCTGTCTGTGTAACCTGGCTGGCTTTGAACTTGGGATCTTCAGGCTGTACACACACACACACACACACACACACACACACACACTTAACATTATGGAAGTCCTTTCCAGACTTCTGGAATCGTATCCCTCCTTTGTTTTCCAGATTTATTGAGGTGTAATTTAGATTTTTAAAAATTTACGTGTTTTGCCTTTATGATTCATATTTGCCCTGGCAGCCGTGGAGGGCATCAGATCCCCTGGAACCAGAGTTATGGATGGTTGTGAGCCACCCTGTGGGTGCTAGGAAGCAAACCCAGGTCTTCTACAAGAACAAGCGCTCTTGACCAACGAGGCATCTTTGCCAGTCAGTTGAGGTATAATTCAAAAACAGCAAAATTCACCTATCTTAAGAATGGAGTCAAAATTTCCTCAGCTTCAACTTTTTGTTAGCTTGACTCGGGCCCTTGCATGGATGTGTATTAAAAACTAAACATACAGTAACACAATACATATAAAATACCTTCGAAAATATATGTATATTCTCCAGGTTGCCGCTAGAGGGAGTAGGCCCTTGATCCTCGCTGGTAGAGCGCAGGCAGAGAGTACTGAAGCTTTGAGCTTCCGGCAGAGGGTCAGAAGGCAAGGTCAGAGGTCACAGGCCTTTAAGCCAAAGAAACAACCCTGCTGACCTCGCCCGAAGACTACACGCGCCTTGGCCCACTGCGCAGGCGCGCGGAGGCCACGGGCGCGGCGGGCGGCGGCGAGAGACGATTGGCCGGATGCCGAGGCCCCGCCCCCTCAGCGGCGCCCGCGACCCGGTCGGCGTGTCAGTCCGCAGGTTCGGGTCGTTGTAGCGCCGTTGGGTCCCGCGTGGTGCCGGGGGCTTGTCCTGCGCTTACACTCGCTGGGCACGGAGCCCTGGAGTCTGTGAGTCCGCGGGCGCGGGGGAAGCGGGGGAAGCGGCGAGCGCCACTCCGACGGCGGCGTCGCCCGGCTGGCCCGCCTCGGCAGCCCCGGGGAGCCAGCCCGGAGGGCGGAGGGCGTGAAGGGAGCCGAGTCTTGCCCCGGAGTCTCGGCCCGGCCGCAAGGCAGAGCTGGGCGAGCTGGGACGCGGGGCCTGCGCCAAGGTGGGGTCGGTTTTGGCGCGCTCTAGCGTTCGCTTTTCCTATTGGCTGGCGTGCGCCGCGATGGGCGGGGCGGGCACTCCCGGGACGGCTTGGCTGGAGCTGGGGCTGGGGCTGGGTCAAATCCTGTGTCTCCCATCCCAGTGGTGCCAGTGTGGGTGTCAGCGGGTTCTCCTCGGACCCTGTCTCCGTGCTTATGACTGACTAATGACAACAGGATCTTGGGCCACTACCTGCATTTTGAGAAACTTTGTCCAAGCCTGGGCGTGGTGGTGCTCATCCAGCACTCAGGGTCCCGAGGCTGGAGGGTCTGGAGTTCAGGGTCAGCGTTGCCTACTTAGCCAACTCAAAAGAAAAGAAGCATACCTAGGGTTCCTCAGGTAGGTTTCCAATCAGGTGTTATTAAAGTGAAATAGAGTAGGAAATAGAACATCACACACACACAGGGCTATAAGTTGTTTCTGTTTGCGTACATGTGTGGGTCCTAGGACACAAGGTAAATTATTAATTGCATGTAAGAGGTGGTGTACAATTTAAGCGCAGCCTTCCCTCTCCCCGCTTAAGACAGCTTGGTTGTAAGTTTGCTGCATAGCTGACCGCCACCTTGAATTCCGTTTCTTGTGCTTTCCCAGCTTCTTCTGGTATTACAGACTTGTGCCATTACAGCCCTTGGTTTATGCAGTACTACGTAGGGATGGAGCCGAGTGCATACTGGTTATGAACTCTACTCACTGAGCTACATCCAACAGCCAAAAGCTGTGTTTTTTTGTTGTTTTTGTTTTGTTTCGTTTGAAACAGGGTCTTGGCCATGTAGCCTTAGCTGATCTCCAAATTTGATATTGTGCCTATTTCTGCCACTGTGTTCTAGGAGTGCAGTCATGTGCTACCCTGACAGGCAGGATGCTATTTTGGGTGGATCTGAGCCTGCCTAAATGTTTGTTTTGCTATTTCCGTTGTCCCTTTCTCACGTCTTTGAGATCTCACGCCATTGTAGTGGTTAGTGGTTCTGCCATAAAGCAGTAAGATTTTTCTGGTTGTATGTTGTTGTTTTTCCAAGACAGGGTTTCTTTGTGTAGCCCTTGCTGTCCTGGGACTTGCTCTGTAGACCAGGCTTCCAACTCGGAGATCCACCTGCCTCTGCCTCCCGAGTGCGGGGATTAAAGGAGTACACACCACCACCTCTTGGCTTGGTTGTAAATAATTTTTTTAAAAAAAATCTAAATTCCACCTTCCGATCAAACCATAAATTACTTGTTTTTTTTTTTTTCTTCTGTGCTTTACCAGCTGAAAATGAATACCACTATGAAGCAGAAACAGGAAGGAGCCCAAGAAAACTTGAAGGTATGTAATAAAACCACTTAAATGTGCTTGAATTTGTTTAATTAATAGGTGGGGTCTTGCTGTGTTGCCCAGGCTGGCCCTAAACTCCTGGGCTGAAACCATTTCCTCAGCCCCTAAAGTGACCTTAAATTCAGACTTCGTTATCAGAAGTTGAAAACGGAATGTACTCTTGCATATATTTTTGAGAAGAGGGTTTGCAGAATATCAAATTGTTTTCTGAAAAGATTAAGATTTAACTATATGAATGAAACCTGTAGTCTAGAAGTCTGCTATTCTAATGCATCATGTGTATAGAGAAAAGAATATAATACTATACATCCCTTTGGACTGTGTTTTAAAAAAGTTTACTTGTATAAAGTGTAAATCTTGAAAGTGGTCTTTGTGTGCAAATATGAGAAGGATAGCAGCTTACAGGCTTCTTTGACCATTTTCAACATCAAACATTTAGTTTTATTTTCTTCTGTTTAGAGACTTGATTAATCTGTAATCTGAATTATATCTGAAATGTTGTTGTAATATTTGTTCTCATGGTGGTTGGCATTTGTTCCTCGGCTAAATAGTGAGATAATAGTCAACAGCAGAGACTTTACCGTGGGAAAGGTGAACTTTGCCATATGAAGTACAGTAACTTTCTCACGCTGCTGTGGTATCATGTTCTTGCTAACCTTGTTTGAGTATCCATTGTTTGCTATCCCATGGTGGCAGTATAACTAAGGATTCTTTTTTTTTAATAGAACTTTCAAGTCAGGAAATGACACAGGGGATATTTATATATTACAAAGAAGGCAAACTTTTTGTTTTTAAAACAATAGTTTGAGCATGTTGTAGGGTTATTTGGGGGGGTGTGAGACAAGATCTCACTATGTAGCCTTTACTAGACTGAAATTCATAGAAATCTGCCTCTCTCTGCCTCCCGAGTGCTGGGATTGAAGGTGTGTGCCACCATGGATGGCTTGTTTGTTGCTTAATCACTCACTATGTAGACCACAGGCTGGCCTTGAACTCAGAGAGCTCCATTTGCTTGTGTGCACACCACGTGCTGGGATTATAGGTTTGTGCTACCACTCTGAGCCAGAGTGTTTTGGTTTGCCTAAAGCACAGACATTTTATCAATGTCCTAATGAATGGACTTGTAGAAAAACTGCTTCTACTGTCAAGTGATGCTTGAGGAGGGGCACGTGCTCTTGCTTCCACCTACAATTCTGGCTACAGTGTGTTCCCAAAAATTATATTCCTGGTGCCAGGTGTGGTGGTGCATGCCTTTAGTCCCAGCACTAAAGGGTAGATGCAGGTGGATTTCTGAGTTCAAGGCAAGCCTGGTCTATATAGTGAATTCTAGGATATCCAGGGCTATATAGAAAGACCCTGTTTCAAAAAAGTTAGTAAAGTAAAAATTACATTCCTGGCCTGAGAGCTACCTCAGCTTGTTGCCAATCCTGATGACCTGAGCTGGCTCCCTGAAGTATGTGTGATGAAAGGAGAGAGCTGACTTTTGCAAGCTGTCCTCTGGTCTCCACACGTACGTGTGCACATGCAAAAATAAAAATATTTTAAATTAAAATGTTTAAAATTTTAAAAATATCTTAAAAATTAAAAATATTTTAAATTTCTATTGCTGTGATAAAGCACTGTGACCAAGCCAGACAGTGGTGGTGCATGCCTCTAATCCCAGCACTTGAGGAGGCAGAGGCAGGGGGCTCTTTGAGAGTTCAAGGGTAGCATGGTCTACAAAGTGAGTCCAGGACAGCCAAGGCTACACAAACCGTGTCTCAAAAATCCAAAAACAGAAAAGAAAGAAAAAGCACCAAAACAATAACAAAACCACCATGACCAAAACATCCTGGAGAGGAAAGAGTTTATTTCAGCTTCCAACTCCCGGGTCACACTCCAGTACCGAGAGAGGACAGAACAGGGACTTGCTCAAGGCAGGAAGTGAAGCACAGGCTCTGGAGGAATGCTCCTTGCTCGCTTCTCTCTTGCTCGGTTTTTTTCTTATGCATAGCAGGACCACCGCCTGCCCAGGGCTAGCATTGGCGACAGCTGAGCCGGCCACATCAGTCAAGAAAATGCTACTCCACTTGTCTGTAGGCAATTCTAATGGGAGCGCTTCATCAGCTGCCCTTCCCTCTTCCAAATATGTCCTGGTTTTGGACAAAAACCAACCAGCAGATTTTTTTCACAAGTGCCCATAAGTGTTTGGAAATATTTAGAGTGCTGAGATGAATCTTTTTGATTCGAGGAAGTATTTTATGGTTTAACTAACCTTTTCTCTCAGTGTTTACCTCTTTTGTAAGTAGAGTGTAAATTCCCAATTTGTAAGATTTTTTTTTAAATAGTCATTTTTTCATTGGAAATTTGACATATATCATTTGCACTATTATATATATCATAGAAAGTATGTTATGTGTGTTTTAACTAACTAAGACGTGTTGACAAGGATTATAGCAAGAATTAGAATGTATTAGAATGGGAAAAGTTATCTGTTTCTGGTTTGGGTGCTATGGCCCATTCTTACCAGTTTCTTTATACTTTATTGTAATCTTGGGAAGTAAGTTTGCTGGTCAATTAAGCTAACATCTTGTTTGGATACATAAAATTTTATATATACATATTTGTCTATACATATACGTATGTAAATATCTATGTATCAGGCCAAATCTTGTGTTCTTAGTGGTTTTTTTGTTTTTTTTTACTGATATTACAGTAAGAGTAAGTTGAACTAAATAGAAACTTAAAAAGTAATCACATAGCAGTAACCAGATAATGAATCGTCTTGACTTTTAGAATAGTCCTGTCCCAAGGAGAACACTGAAGATGATTCAGCCTTCTGCAGCTGGATCTCTTGTTGGCCGCGAAAATGAGGTATGTGTACAGGGCTAGAATGGGGAGGTGGTCAATCAACATTAACATTTCCCAGATTTCTTTAAATTTTCTTAAATCTGTTTTTTATTGTAGCTAAGTGTTAGTTCAATTCTAACCAAAATAATTGTTGCAAATAAAATTTCTAAAATGACATTACACATTTTTGTAGTTTTTTAAAAAATTACATGTATGGGCTGAAGATACAGCTCTGTGTTTAGGAGGGAGCCTGAGTTCAGTTCCCAGTACCCGTGTCGGGCAGCTTCAGAGCTGTCTGCAACTCTTCCTTAAAGGGATGGGACACCCTTTTCTGGCCACAGACTGCACTCAAATGCATAACCACACAGACATAAAAATGTAATTACAAATAAAACCTAAAAAGCTATTTTGTGTGTTGCACACACCCATGCGGGTATGTATGTGTGCGCATGGACTACAAAACTGAAGTCAGAGTTGCTTTGGGGACTCTGTTTGGCTTCTTTCACTGTGCGGGTCCCAGGGATAGAGTGTAGGTTGTCAGCCTTGGCGCCAGGCACCATTACCTAAAGCGCCATCTCACCGGCCCTATTTGAGGAGTTTTAAATTGTACAACTTAAAACTAACAAACAAAAAGGGATTCTTAAATATGTACATAAATAATGTAGCTCTTTTGTTTATCAAATCTAAGTAAAGATGTGTTTCCATCCCAGTTGCCAAAAGGCTTGTCCAAAAGGAAGCTTTGGAATGACCAGTTAACATCTAAGACTTCAAGCTCTGGTCCAGAAGCTAATGAAAATAAAGATGTTGAAGATGTTACCCAGGAAGCATTTGATCTTATGATTAAAGGTACGCAAAAAGGACATAGCCTTGTCTTGAAAGCTTTAATTACACTGAAGGTATGTATTATTTGGTGGGGTTACGATTTGTATTATAAATAGGCAAATACTCTAACTTTGGACACATGGGACATTCAAGAATGCAATGTAGGTGAAATTTTAAAGACGAGGACAGCAATTAAATTGGCATCTCAGAGTAAAATTGGAACCTTACCCAGAAATGGGCTTTTCAGAGGAAAAGTGTTAATGGGGACTGGGTTTCTTCAAGAGAACCTAAAGTAATGGGGCCAATAGGAAGAATCCTGGGGGAAGGGGGTTAAAGGAGAATGAGAAATACACTTTTTGATTTTGGTTTTTTTGTTTTGTTTTGTTTTTGTTTGGTTTGATTTGTTTTTTGTTGTTATTTGTTTATTTCCTGATACAGGGTTTCTCTGTGTAGCAGTCCCGGAACTCGCTTTGTAGACCTAGCTAGCCTCAAACTCAGAGATCTACCTGCCTCTGCCCCCTGAGTGCTGGGATTAATATCACCACTGCTAGCAGAAAAACACTCTTAATAAGTGTTATTTTTAATGGCAGAGTAGTAGAAATCAAAAGAGGAAACTGATGATGTTTTGTAGTCATTTTGGGGGCTTTTTCATTTTGTGAGCTGGTCTTACCCTGCAGCCCTGACTGTCCTAGAATTCACTGTGTAGCCCCAACCTGGCCTTGAACTCAGGCAGTCTGCCTCAGCCTCTCTAGTGAAGAAACAGTCTTGAGCTGCCACACCTGGCTCATTGGTGAGACCTTTTTTTCCCTCTGTGTTGGTCAGAGGTCATGAGAAATTTAAGCATTGGTTTACTCAAGACCACAGTCAGAGGAACCTGTGATTGTTCTGAGTTGCCTGGGAGGTAGGAAGGAAATTTAGAAACAAAGTGCTTTTATAGGACAAAATTGCAAACAGTTAACTGGATAGAACCACAGCAGCTTTGTTGTGGGACAGCATAAGAAACAGGACTTGTAATGTTTGTATTGGTTAGGTTAAAATCAGCCAAGGGTTCCAAACTCTTACCAAAAATATTGCTTGTACAGTCAGCAGTGATCACAGACTGTCCTAGTTAAAGTATAACTATAAAGGCAGTTATACTTACTTGAGAATTTTGGTGGGATGAATTATTAGAATTAAAAGACCCACAGAGAGGGCCTGAGTTTTGTTGAATCTATTTTTTAGTAGTGAAAATTTTTGTGCATATTTTAGAGTGGAACAAGTGAGTGACATGCTGGTGTTAGGAGAGCAGGTTCGTAATAGGATGAATGGAAAAACAAATGTGGTGTGGAAAGGGAAGGGTGAACTCTTGAATTGCAGTTGGGAGTATTAGTATAAACTGATTATGAAAAGCAAGAAACACACAGATATCCAGTCCTTGGTTTGTAAACACTGTTCTGCCCTGAAGCTCTTGGGGGAAAATGGCTGATTCCAGGATGGGAGCAGGATACTGCCGAGTGATCCTCAAGTCTCATATCACAAAATAAGGGAAATGTCCAACATGTGGAGAGGTTCACACTGGTAAAATGTGTGAAAATTTTCAGCATCAAAATGAATTGTGGTAGTACATACCTGTGATGCATGCTCTTCCAAGGTGAAGGTAGGAGGATTACTTCATAGTTGTGCTCAGCTGTTTATGATGTTCAAGGCCAGCGTGGGATGTATGTCTCAGAATAAAAACAGCAAACTGCCAGGTAGTGGTGGGGCACACCTTTAACCCCAGTACTCCGAGTTCAAGGTCAACCTGGTCTACAGAGTGAGTTCAGGATAGCTAAGGCTGTTACACTATGAAACCCTGTTTCGAAAACAACAACAAAAAACCAAAGAATTACTGTTAGTACAGTAAATGAGCATATGAATCTGTAATGATGACTTAGGAGAAAGCAGACGAGGGAGCATTCCTTTCAGAGTCACATTCACTGTAGATTATGGCAGATTTAGGTTAAAATTGTTAAAATTGGCTGGGGAACAGATTAAGAAACTCAAATTTTACTCCCCAGAGCTCTTATTAATAACCAAGGAAAACTGTTTTTACAAGGCAGAAATTTGGTATATGGCATCTTAATCAAATGATCAAATTTTATATTCAATAATGTAACAGTGCCAAGTACTTCCTGATGATACATGAAGATACAGAGCATTTATGCATTATTCCAGCCAATAAATGTTGAGCTTGCAACAAATTCACAATTAAGAACTATGTGCAAATTAACTAGTCTAAACATTTCAAAGGTATTTGGGCAGAGAGTATAGCTCAGTGGTTGGAGAGTTCAAGTCCCCCATAAAGGTCAAATAAAAAAATGCACAAGCACAAAACAAATCTTGTAAAACGTTAAACAGTATAGACACTACATCTGCATTTATTTTCCTTCTATTGCAGTTCTTTTCAAGGAGTGAAAGCCTTGATATGCTGGCAAAAATTAGATTGTGACTTTTCAATATAAGTAAATTACTTCATTTTTTTAATAGTTTTTGTTTGTTCTGAGACAGGGTTTCTCTGTGTAGTAGTTCTGGCTGTCCTGGAACTTGCTCTGTAGACCAGACTGGCCTTGAGGTCCATCTGCCTCTGCCTGAGGAGTGCTGGAATTAAAGGTGTGTATTGTCACACCTGGCCAGGTTTTTTGTTGTTGTTTTTAATTAGGACTTGCTATCAGTCTGGGTTGGCCTCAGACTCCTGAGTGCTAGGATTATAGGTATGTGCTCCACCTGATTTTTAAAGGTATGTAAAACACTTGATTTCTTCCAGAAAACCCATCTTCTCAGTATTGGAAAGAAGTGGCAGAAAAACGGAGAAAAGCTCTCTATGAAGCACTTAAAGAAAATGAGAAAGTATGTATTGTTTTCATGCCATTTAAAGGGTTTTGGTAGTGTTCTTTCTCATCCGTGTACTCAAACAGGTACAGACTAGCTTTAATGTTGGTCTGAAGAAAGTTGGCAAAAGGCATGGGCAAAAGGCATCCTGCTCTGTCACTGCATAGGAGGCTGCTCAAGATCAGAGCAGATCTCCAGATACTGAACTTTTATTTTTATTATATAGCTTCATAAAGAAATTGAACAAAAGGACAGTGAAATTGCCCGCCTGAAAAAGGAGAACGAAGAGTTGGCAGCAGTAGCAGAACACGTACAGTACATGGCAGAGGTAATCGAGGTAGGTTATTCCATGTTCACGGGGTTCAGAGTCATTGGCAGTGCTGTGGCCAGTGAGCGTTCGGCCCTGTTGCTGAGAGTTTTTTGGATAGAGTAGGTTATTTGTCCTGTCAGGGTTTTATTTTTCTTACCTATAACGGGACTAATAATGCCCACATCTGAAAAAGATATGAAAAGTTACTCTATTGTACAGTTGACATAGTTGTAGATTTTATTTTTTTACAAATAGGCTATCAATTATCATTTATAAAATAAATAGGCTTTGTGGCTTTATCTCACTTTTTAGATTTGGGAAAGTAGCTAATGTATTTCTCAGATTCAGCCTGATTTCTATGACTTTACCAGGCTTGACTTGATACATGTTTTCAGTCTTTTGTATGTACAAAGTAGATCCATCTTACTGATGGAAAGAAAGCTTTTCAAATCAAACCTTCTCACATTAAATTGCTGCCTTAACATTTTAGAGCTGTGACAATTTTTTTTAAGGTTTTTTTTTTTTTTTTTTTTTAATTTTAACTTTTTTATTATGTGTAAGTGTGTGCAGAGGATCTGGCCTGGAGCTAGAGTGACAGCTGCCTCGTGTGGTTGCTGGGAGAACTAACTGGTCCTCTGTAGGAATAGTGCATGCTCTAACCCCACGTCGTCTCTCCAGCCCTGCCAGGATAGTCTCTGAAGTGCTGAACTAGCTCTCGCTGTTGGCTCTAAAAGTATAGTTCCTCAGCCAGTTGTTCCTAGAGAAGCTGTGCTTTTGGAAAGAGCTGGGCCTGGAAAGATGGCTCAGTGGTTAAGAGCGCTGTCTGGAAAGAGCTTAGTCGGTGCTTTAAAAAACTAGCAAATTACCGTCGACTTTGCTAAAATGTGATGTAGAGCTATATAGACTTTAATGTAACACAAAGTGAATTTATTGGGGGGGGTCATTTTAACATTGATAAGTTGCTGTATCAGTGTAGTGATTAATAGTGGATTTCAGTTTTGAGGTCTTTACAATAAATTTCTGGTTTATTCCAAAAGAGGCTGAGTAATGAACCTCTGGATAACTTTGAATCACCGGATAGTCAGGAATTTGATTCTGAAGAGGAAGCTGTTGAGGATTCTGAAGTGGAAGGCTCAGGAACTGGCGTGTGTACTGAAGAGACTGTGTCTTCCTCCACGGACACCAAACCATGTCCATGAGGTGTGAAGTACACTGCCAGCGGTGCCCTTCAATATATCTTGGTAAATTAATTAAGCCGCGCAAGTGCTGGAATCCAGGTTTGAAGCCTGGGGCTCAAACTGCACTAAAATACAGATAGTATGTATTTTTAATCTATTGTTTTATGTAAATAGCATTTTCATTTTCTCAGTGTCAGATGTGACTTGTGTATATTAAATAAACTTCAATTTCCTGTTGAATGTTGTATGTCTTGAAGAATTAAGTGTGTCTAGTTTGTAAAAAAATGCATCTGTTTCTTTAGTATTTTACTGTTTTGCTGTCATAGAAATGGGAAATGAACCTATTCCTGTCTGGGCTGAGATAGCTGAATATCTGTTGATCAGATCTCAGGATCACTGAGTGTGGTTCATTTTTATGTTTGCATATTCTTACTTAGTGCTTTGAGTAAACTATCTACTTTTCTAAAGATTCCCCAAGTGAACTTGATTGATCAGGTAAATGCTTAACTGTTATGATCATTTATTTTTGAACATTCAAAGGTAATGGGTGACAGGGATAGTCTTCAGAAGCAAAGTGATGAAAGGTGGAAGTACAGTGAGAAAAGGGTAGCTGCAAGTTTGGAAACTACAAAAATTGTGTGACTATCAAAGGAGTAAGAAGAAAGAAAGACGACAAGAGGCTTTGTTAATAAAGCATCATAGGGATGGAATTTGCCTTGATGGGCGTGAAATATTTTTATGCAAGTTGACAACAAAGACCACTAACAACCTTTACTTTTATTACATCTATTTACTTATATGTATGAATGTGTGGAGGTCACAGGACAACTTGTGGGAGTCGACTCTTAAACCTTGTGGGTCCTAGATATGGGTTACCAGGTTTGGCAGCAAGAGTCTCTGTGGGGCCGTGTTGACAGCCCTAATATTGACCTTTAAAGCATGATTTTAGGTAGTTTCCTTATAGGACTTTAATTTTCCTGTCTTCAGTATTGAGGTAAAGCCCGTCTTAGTATTATTGTGAGGACAAAGACTACTATGTGTGAACTAAGTGCTTAAAACAGAAAGTGATGACTGGGCTGTTGGTGTAGCTCAGCTAAATGCTTGCTTAGCATGCACAGTGCACTGGTTTGGCCCCGGCTACACAAACCAAGTGTAGTGATGCACACTCGTAATTAATTCCAGTGCTCTAGGAGGAGGAGGCAGGAGGATGAGAAGTCCAGGGTCCTCTGCTACATAATAAATTCAAGGCTAGCCTGGACAAATGAGACCCTGATGTAAAACAAGCCGATCAGGGAGATGGTTCAGTAAGTTGTGAGGCCCTCACTAGTTAGTTGTGAGAGCCCGTGGACGTGAGTCTGAGTCCAATCCCTTGAACGTACCTCCCGCCCCCCCATTTTTTTTTTTTTTTTTTTTTTTTTTTTTTTTTTTTGAGACAAGGTTTCTCTGTGTAGCTCTGGCTGTCCTGGAACTCATGTGGACCAGACTGGCCTTGAACTCAGTGATCCACCTGACTGCCTCCCAGAGCAGTGGAGTTCTGGGATTAAAGAGCATGTGCTGCCACGCACAGTTTATGGCACTCATGCTTTTCAGACAAGTTATGTGGTCTGTAAGCCCAGCACACTTGTATGTGGACACAGGAGGCAGGAGTGGGAGTTCACGGGCCGCCTAGCTTGGGGTTATGCAGAGCAGCAGAAATGAGCCAACTCAGGGAAGGCATCCTCTGACTGTGCCATGGCCTTTCATTCCTACTCAAAAAAATAATAATAATAAATATTTTTAAAACAGGAAGATAGAGATTATTACTAATAACTTTGTCCAATAGTACTTGGAGGTATTGGTGATATACCTGTGTTAGACAACGAAGAAACCACTAGTTCAGCATTTAAAATATGGTCAGTGTGAATGGAAAGCAAATTTTAACTTAAGTTTATGTTTAATAAACAACTCCAGGCTAGTGGCTCCTGGGAGACTGTGGCTCTGCATGTTTTGTAATTGAGCCACTACCTTAAAGATTTCATTAAAGAATGGGCAAATTGATTTTTAAAAATATTTGGGGCAGGGCAAGGGGGAGAATCTGGTTCTATTGTCACAGTTAGAAAAGCAAGTAGAGCTGTGTGGTGTAGGTTAGTTAATAGATGTCAGGATAGTGTTTCATACATCTTATGCTGTGCTCTTATCCCATTCTACATTTCCTCCTGCCTCTCATTGCTCTCTTGACCCACCCACCTTCTCAAATAGTTCTCCCTTCTGCTTTCCTGTCACAGTGATTGCTTTCCTCGTGGGACAAAGACGATTTCAAAAGCAATGTGATAGTAACAACTCTTAAGACCATGCAAGAGCAGGAAAGGTTACTAAAAGAAAATAGAAAAACCTTAACAATTTTTAGGTTTGCAAAGGTTTCTTACTCAGGACAGGAAGAGCCAGATTTGTGTCATCAATAGGCTTTGTAAAAAGAAGAACCTCCTCTTTGAAAAACAAGCAAAGGACATAGCTTCTTTGAGATGTTTTTCTCTGTTTACATCAGATTCTCTAGTGTAGCCGCCCTTGGAGAGGCTTGACTGGCAGTGTTAGTACACAGTAGGCAAGATGTCTTTCCAGTGGACTGACAAGAAGGGAAATCTTAACAACCTGAATTCATTTCCTGGAACCTACAGCGATAGGAGAAAACTGACTCCTAATTGTTCTCTGACCTCTATGTGTGGGTCATGGAAGCATGAATGTCTGCACAAAATATAATTGTTTTTAAGAAGCTATTGTGGTAGCTGGGCGTGGTGGCACACACCTCTAATCCCAGCACTCAGTAGGCAGAGGCACGCAGATCTGCCTCTGCGTTTGAGGGCAACTTGGTCTAGAAAGTGAGTTTATAATAGCAACAGCTACACAGATTTGATTCTGTCTCAAAAGAAATTTTTTTTCTTGATAAAAGTACATTGTAGTGTATGCCAAGGCAACACATGACCACCACAAGATCATAGGGCCCTTAACTCTGTTTAACAAACTATCCCTTCAAAAGATCTCTGGATTTAGCCAAGCATAGTGGCTTGGGCCTTTGATCCCAGCACTCAGGAGGCAGAGGCAGGAAGATCTCTTGAGTTTGAGGCCAGCCTTGCCAGCCTGGTCTATAGAGCAAGTGATAGCCAATGCTACAGAGTTGAGACCCTCCAAACAACCAACCAAAGATCTCTGGACTTAAGGTCTTACCTGATAAATCACAAGTCAACGGCAAGAAGTTAGTTTATAACTATCAGAGAGCACCGGGGTCCTCTGGGTAGGGTAACGTGTCCTTATGTATACTAGCCCAGTTCCCCAGCAAGATTAAAAATCCCATTTTTCCCACAGTAATTTTTCCCCCAGTTTCAAACCTACTTCCCTTTGATTAAAATCCAAGTTGCTACTACAACTTGGATTCACTTAAATAATATCAACATTTCCAGGTAACTTGACAGATAGCAGTGCCCAAAAATTTCTGGGAAACATGCCATGGCATTTCCTCTTTTGAGGGTCTTGGTTCTTCCATATGGTTCTCCTCCTGCCTGGGGCCCTGTTTCCCCACCTGTTTCCTACTATGGCAGGAGGGGCAGAAGCTGAGCTTGGAAGGCTATGAGCACGGGGATCAAACACTCCTCGAACTCCCACTTCAGGGAGCTGGTTCAACTTTAATTTCCGAGAACAAAGGATATATACCCCTTGGGGAGAAGCTGGGGGTCCAAGGTAACAATTATGTACACCAAGGATAGGTGTACATAATTGGTTAAAACTAGGCACTTCAAGGATACTTGGTTTGCATTAAAGAGCATACTCCTATCATATGAGTAGGAACACTACCTAATTATCCTATAGGTGCAGGGAGGGGAGAGCAAACAGAGAGCTGTGTCAAGGCCATATATCAAATGTGGTTAGGGGTTAGACACTCTCCAGATGAAGTCAGGCGGAGAGCAGGAGGTCCTCCTGCTGGTGAAAGGGAGTCCTGCCCCTTAGCACCAAGCTCAGAATGGCTACCTGGCCTGGGAGGACTGCAACCTCAAACAGCAGGGTTCTCCCAACACCTCTAGAATGGGGATTCTCAGCTTATCTGGAATTGGTCCAAGTTCCTGGGTGATGCAGGGGTAGATTTCCACCTGGAGTCTTGCTTTGTTCTTAGCAATGTTGTCTCAGTTTCCTATAAAAGTCTCTGCAAAGGCAATTTAAGGGAGGAAGTTCATTCTGGCCGACCCAAAGACAATACACCATGATGGGGATGTCAAGGTGGTCGAAGCAGCTAGTCATGTTGAATTCACTGACATCAGAAAGCAGGAGTGTGATAAACGTTGCTCAGGTCCCTTTATTTAACTACAGGATCCCAACCAGGGAAAGGCACCGTCCCCAGCAGGCCTGTCTTTCCGAGTCAACACAATCCAGACATGCCCAGACACCTACCCCCCAGGTGATTTTAGATTCTGTCAAGTTGACAACACTAAGGCTCAGCGATGAGCTCATCCGCATACCCACGAGGCAGCATGCTCCTCCGTTCATGCAGTTTGAATCATGTGTGTTTAGCTTGCAGCATTGGATCACCCAGTGACCCTCAGACTCCACCCATCACTTACGACCCACAGGAAGGGCACCTAGCTAACTGTGGGTTGGAAAGCTGTGTGACTAGGGGAGCCTGACCGGAGCAAGAGTGAGGTCTAGACGAGTCCAAACTCTGAAAAGTCTTGTCCTGAGACTGGCAGGAATAGGACTGTTTTCTCCTTGCTCTGGACCTGCTTGTCCTAGCGCACTTACGCCTTGAGACTGCCCTTGAGGTAGTCACATAAGCTGGTGGCCAGGTTACTGGTTAAACCTCTCCTTGGAAGGACATGTCCAGCTAGCCCCTGGAATTCCTCTTCATGCAAATGAAGCATTCCTGTACCTTAGCCCCAGCCGATGACATACACTCACCTGAAAGCCCCCACCTACTTCCTCAAGGTTTATATAGCCTTTATTTGCCCCCAATAAAGAGAGCTGTTACTCTGAAAACCATCTTGGAGAAGGCTGTTTGTCCTGCCGTCACTTCTGACCAAGATCCTGCTAACCCACCCACCCCGCTAAGCTTCATTCTTTGCGGTCTAGCCCGGCACACAATGGAGTGTGGCTACACACCAGATCCACTCATTATTTCCTCTTCAGATAAGAACAGGCCTCCAAAATTCAGCCAAAAACAGGACAAAACAAAGTACAACAAGACAAGGCGAAAACCCTCATTTTGAGGCTGGATAAGGCAACCCCACAGGAGGAAAAGAGCCCCAAAAGCAGACAAAAGAAACAGAGATACCCGTTCCCAGTGTTAGGATTCCTACAGAAACACCAACTTAACAGCCATAACATAGAAAGAGAGGACCTGATGCAAACCCAGTCTGGCTACATGAGTACTGATTTAGTCTCTGCCCATATGAGCCTTGCTTATTTGATTTGGTGGGCCCTGTTCTTCTGGTATCTTCCATCCCCTCTGCCTCCTACAGTCTTTCCTCCTTCTCTTCCAAGGCATTCCCAGAGCTCTGAGGGGAGGGATCCAATGGAGACCTCCAGTTTAGACTCTCTCCACATAATGTCTGGCTGTTGGTCCCTGCACCTGCTCCCATCAGCTGACAGGAAGTCTCTTTGATGACAACTGGACAAGGCACCAATCTGAGTATAGCAGAATATCGTTAGGAATCATTTCTTTAGTTTTATTTTTTTAAAAGACCATTCATGTTTGATTCTACCCAAGGTCTCTAAACTAGTCTCCAGATTCTGGCTACCCAGTCATGGGTTCCCTTTTCTGTTGTGGGCCTCAAGTTAAATCAGACATCGACTGACCATGCCCACAAGTTCTGCACCACCATTGCCCAGCACATCTTGTAGGCAGGATAGACTGTAGGTGGAAGGGTTTGTGGCTGGGTTGGTGTCCAGGGTTCTCTTCTCCATAGTCTGCAGAATACCTTCTTGTGACAGAGGCTAGAATGTAGGAGTGAAGGCTCCAAGCCTGCATCAGCTAGACCTCTCTCTACATCCAATAAGCTGAAGTTGTCCTCAGAGGGTGTCCTTCTGTCCTAGCATCAGTCTGGGTTGTTCAGGGATTTCCATGGGACCTCCTCATCCAACAACTCAGCTGAATGCAACCCAGTCCCACCACTGGATGCTTTGCCTGGCTACAAAATATGGCCAGTTCCGACTCCACATCCTCCATTTCTAGGAGTCCTCACTAGGGGCTAAAGCAATAACTATTGTTCTGGGGTTTGCTATGCCCTTTCTTTTAAATAACTATTTGAGTTTTCTACTCTACTTCTGACCCTGTAGTTTCCAGATAAAAGACACAGAGACCTTTTAGATTTATAAAATCTAAAATTTAAAGCACCATACTGGGCAGGTATCAACCCTCTAAGCTTTTTCTTTCTTTCTTTTCTTTTCTTTTCTTTTCTTTTCTTTTCTTTTCTTTCTTTCTTTCTTTCTTTCTTTCTTTCTTTCTTTCTTTCTTTCTTTCTTTCTCTTTCTTTCTTTCTTTCTTTCCTTTTTCTTTCTTCTTTCCTTCCTTTCTTTCCTCTTTTCCTTCCTTCCTTCCTTCCTTCCTTCCTTCCTTCCTTCCTTCCTTCCTTCCTTCCTTCCTTCCTTCCTTCCTTCCTTCCCCATTTTTTCCTAAGGACAGGGTGTCATTATATAGCTCTGGCTGGCCTTTTATTCTATGTAGACCAGACAGACTCCTCAAACTACAGAGCTCTGTCTCCCGAGTGCTGTTGTTAAATGCTTGCTCCATTACACCTAGCCAGGCTTTTCTTTCTCTCTTTTTTGAGACTGGAGTCTCTTTGCCTCTCTTTCGGTTTTGAGACAGGGTTTCTCTGTGTAGCCTTGGCTATCCTGGACCTTACTTCGTAGACCAGACTGGCATCGAACGAAGGGGAAGAGGGTCTCACTGTGTTGCCCAGGCTAGTTGTGAACTCACAACTGTCCTCCTTCGACCTGCCAAGTAGCTAAGCTGGAATTACACGTCTGGGTGATTTAGCAACTTTATTTCCTAACGGGAGAGATTCTAACCATGGGAGCTCCTGGAGCCCCAGATCTGTAAGGTCACGTTAGGCAGTAGAACTGCTCGGAAGTTTTATGATTACAGTTGACAGACTGTATGGATATCTATCCACATGGACTGTGTGTGCTTGCATGCTTGTGTGTGTGCAGTGCATGGGTATTGGTCTGAGCTCGACCTAGTGTGTCTTCATTGCCGCTCACCATCATCTATACTGACGCTTCGTTGCTGCTGGGACCACAGGCTGGCTGCTGACACCCACGCAGCTTTTCAGTGTATTCTGGGGGAATCTAGACTTTTGTCTTCAGGTACGCACAGGAAGTGCCAGCCCCCCCTGAGCCATCTCCTCAGCTCACGCATAGAACTTTCAAAGTGCAAAAGAAAACACTGTAGAACAACACATTGATTTTATTCTTTGTTTCAGGTTTCCAGGGTAATACAATCGCACAGACAGCTGAATCGTGTAACTAGACTGAAAAAAAAATAATAATTAATTCCTGTGAAAACCTATTAGGAAATATAAGACCTCGGCAAAATTTTCAGACCACCCAGACCAGTTCTCCATAGCCAAGATCTGCAGGTGATATTTTAGAGAGCTGTAAGATCTCAGCTCCTGCATGACAGATAAGTTGTTACAGGTCATGGCAGAGAGAGCATAGCAGATCCAAAACTGAATCTGGAGGTGGTTGTTTAGTTCATTCTTGTTGGTGGAATGAAAGGGAGACTCGAAGAAAGTTACGAAAATGGGAATAAACTGCAGTTGTTTGGCCTTGTTCTGGCTGGCGGGGTTTAAGTAGCACCAGCAGGACACCGCCTGCAGCAGCAGGATCTTGGTCTTGGCTGACATGGTCTTCTCATTCTGCAGCAAGGAAGCGACTTCTTTCATGTACTCGCTGGCAAACTGTGCGGCGATCAGGCCTCCTGTAAGACAAGCGTTTGAGTCTCCAGAAGCACGTGGTGACATTTCAGAGGCCTTTGTGAGTTCTTGTTCTGTGTGTGCATGTGTGCGGGGATGCCTGTGTGTTTGTATGTGCAGTAATTGAGGAGGACACAGCTTCGGGCGTCATCCACTTTTAAGTTATTATTAATTAGTATTATTTTGGTTTTCTGAGACTGGGTTTTTCTGTGTAGCCCTGGCTGTCCTGGAACTCACTTTGTAGACCAGGCTGGCCTCCAACTCAAGAGATCCACCTGCCTCTGCCTCTGCTTCCTCAGTGCTAGGATTAAAGGCGTGCTCCACCACAGTGTGCTGTATGCCTTTAAAATTTTTGCAATCAGGTTTGTCTCTGGCGGGGAGCTCTACAAGTAGACTAACCTGACTGGCAACCTGCCTGTCTTCATCTCTCCAGGGAAAAGGTTTTATGTGGATCCTAGGGCCCCAACTCATGTCCTTGTGTTTACAAAGTAAATACGTCACTGAGTGAGCTCTCTCCAGCCTCCATTTTCCTTGTTGTTTGTTTTGGGGCTGGGAATTGAATTCATGCCTTCACTATACCTCCAGACCCAGGTTCATAGTCTGGTAACCATATTTGACATTTTAGACGTATTGGGTTTTTTTTTCCTTTCTCTCATTGCTGTGAACATTTGAGAACCTGATGAGAAGTCAAATTGGAAGCATGGGAAGGTCACTGCCTGTAGAGGTTCCTCATTTGGTTCTATTATGTGGACTGAGGCATGAATATATCCAGGGGGTATAATCTGGCTATGTTTGTACTGGAGGGAAGTTTGTGGACCTGAGTATCAGAGCACAGAGGAAATGCAAAGACTGAGCAAGCAAACTCAGCTGCCTCGTGGTAGAAAACTGTTCAAGAGTCACTAACTGGAAAAAGTTACTTATTCTAAGCCTTGGTAAATAACTCCTTCCAGAATAAAGAATATTGGGGGTTGGTTTACTCTTATGTATTCTAATGCTAATTGCTGGACCTCAGGATCTGGTTGCCACCCAGACAAGTATATCTTCACTTCATGTACACGGGTCTTTGTTGTGTAAACCTTTTCTACCTCATTTAAAGTTAATTGGCTAATAAAGTTACTGAAGCCTGTGACTGGGCAGAAGAGAGGTAGGCAGAGATTAGGTTCCTGGACTTGGGATCTGACCAGGACCTGGAGTCCAGGAGGATTAAGCCGGAGGGAAGGAAGTCACCACGGGGCAGTATGGACCGTGACCACTAGGCCAAAGGAAGTGAGCCATGAGGGTTGGCCAGATGGAACAGAAGCAGCCCAGTCAAAAACATTTATGTTAAGTAACTTGGGTTATGTAGTTGGGAGGTGGCAAAATAGCTTAGAGGGTTGATATCTGCCCAGTTACTGTGCTTTAAAGCTTTTATAAATCCAATTAAAAAATTGTAAAAAACTGCTGAGCTGTTCTTGTATATTTTTTACTCCCAACTCAGACCCAAGATCAATGTTGCCTTAGAAGATTTTTTCCTTTAGCCATTGACCCAGCTGAGTCCTATCCTAGATTCTGTTCTCTCTCCTTTCTTTCTTTCTGTCCTTTTTGCTTACTTCTTTTTAAGTTTTTTTTTTTTTTTTTTAGACAGGGTTTCTCTGTGTAGCCCTGGCTGTCCTGGAACTCACTCTGTAGACCAGGTTGACCTTAAACTCAGAGATCCTAGGATTAAAGGTGCCTCTACCACTTTTTTGTTGTGTTGTTTTGTTTTTTGGTTTTTTGAGATGGGGTTTCTCTTTGTAGCCCTGAACCTTAAGCTGCCTCAAGTGCTCGGACTAAAGGTATGTGCTACTACTAACCTCTCTTAGATTGTTTTCTATATCAGCCCAAGATCTTTCAAGTTCACATTTCAAATTCCAACAACTAAAAGTGCACAGATGAAGAGAACTTTGGAGGTTATTCTAGCCTCTGCAGCTCTGTTCTTTCCGACTCTGTTTCCCTGGTCGAATAATGCTAAGATTATTCCATTTGATGTAAAGCTTTAGTGTGACAGATGTAAGCCCGTTCCCTTGCTTCCTACAGTGTAGCTAAGACTAACACCAGACTAAGGCATTCTGGTCCTCTCCCTCCATCAAGCTATCTAGGGAGCTGACCCTGATACATGTGATGCATAGCACATGGCTGGGGGGGGGGGGTGTATCTGAGGCTCCTGCCACTCTGGTTTGGACCATTTAATGGCGATGGATAAGGACTTTTACATTTCCCCTCATGGATATCATTCTTTAGAGATTTGATCTCTCAAGTTACAACTAAGTAATTAATTTTCCACTTAAATAACACTAAAGCACTCAGACCTTCTAGGCAGACACTTATTCGTTCAAAAAAAAAAAGGTCTCATGTATCCCAGGCTGGCCTCTAAATCTATGTGGTCAAGGATATCCTTAAACTTCAGAACTTTCTACCTCTGTCTGGGGTTATAGCTGGTCCTGGGGATTGAATCCAAGGTCCTGTGCATACTAGGCACACACTCTGCCAGCTGAGCTAGACCTGTAGCCTCAGAACATATTATTTTATTAAAAGATGATCATAAGGATTAAATAAAACTTTATATGTTACTTAAAAATCCACCAGGGACAAATGAATGGGTTGAACTTGGTAAAATTAGGGCACTGTGATTTTGTCTTTTACTGGGATACTTAGTAGCTTTCTTAGTAATTGTTTTTTAAGACAGGGCCTCTCTATCATGTAGCTCTGGCTGTCCTAAGACTTGAACGTGAAGCAGGCTAGCTGTGAACTCATAGAGATCCATCTGCTTCCGCCTCTTTCCTGAGTGAGGTGTATGTCACCATGCATTTGTAAGCATTTTAGGAGTATAAGTTCTTACAGATTTTCCAAAAACTTTTCCTAGGCAATGCTTTGTCTTAATTGAGCAAGGGGTTTGAGACAAGAATCTTATTTTTAGGCGTGGCTGGCCTGGAATCACTGTGCAGATCAGGCTGTCCTGAGAACTGCCCAAACTTTCCTGCTCCTGCCTCCCAAGCCTGGAATTACCGACCAGCACCCCTAACTGTGTGATTACTGATGTGTACCACCACATCTGGCTGTGTGTGATGCACCTTACAAACTATAAAAAAAAA